CTGTGCTCTGGCCGCTGCCGCTTGCCTCAGGGATGTAACCACTCGCCAAGTCTTAACCTGGCAGGTTACGATGTGCTGCATGTTTTGTTCGCAGTGCTAGTACGACTGGAGAGGATGCCGCGTGTGTTTCATAGCGTGCACCTGCTTTCCCGCTCTGGACACGGTTTCCCTCGCCTGTTTGTGCCAATTCGCTCTTATGGGATGACCCCTTTTTAGACCCCAAATTCGTCCTAGGCGAGGTAAATTCACCCTGATGCAATGGGTGTGGGGGAAGTGCTGGTGCTTTGCGCGCACCAGAACAGAGTCTGTGCTGCGCGGGAAGGAAGTGTGGCCTGGTCGGAGGGACCGGGATGGACTTAGTTGTTTGTGTAGTTTCTAGGGTCAGAGGGGACCTGAACAGATCATCAAGTCCGACCCCCTGCCCTGGGCAGGATCATATCACCCCAGCCAGATATCTATTCAACCTCCTCTTGAAGACCCCCAAGGCAGGGGAGAGCACCACCTCCCTTGGGAGCCCGTTCCAGAGTCTGGCAGCCCTAACCAGAAAGTAATGCCGCCTGATATCAAGCCTGAACCTGCTCTCAATCAATTTGCGGCTGTTATTCCATTTTGTGTGTGTTGCGCGCAATGCGGATATTGTAACAGGTTCAGGGGACAAGCAGGCCTGTGTACGGGTGCTGTTTTTGTAACGGGAAAGATTTTTCCTTTTGTGGTGTGATACTAGTAGTGTAGATAGAGAGAGGCATATATTTTTACCAAAAAAAAAATCTGTGCTCCTCGCTCGTTGTCTGCAACTTGTGTTTCTGTAGTTGTCATGCCCGTTATGGCTTCTAAGTGTCTCATAGCTTATCTCCTACCCCTCTCTGCTGTTGGCGAGTACCAAAATTGTCTTGTGAAGGTAGTAGAAATGGGTCTGGGGGTCAGTACAATCGAGGTCTTGGAACGTATTCCTATTTGTTACGTTGTAAAGTGGGTCCCCTTTCTGCGAATTCAAGTTATGCGCCGTTTTCCAGGGATGCATTTACAGCATAAAGTGAGGGAAACCCGTATCTGTGTCCAAAAAGGCAGTTCTCCTGAACCGCCCCCCAGGAGAACTGCTCTTCTGGTGTGGTTCGGTACCTGCCAAGGTGCAGTGGCTTTAAGCCCAGTTTCTAGACTTAAAGTCTCCTCCCTTGCTTGCTCCAAGGGCCTTATGGCTAACAGCAAGAAAAACTCAGGGGCATCCAGACCCCAAACCTCTGGGCTTGGGCCTGTACATAGGATGCCTGCCAAAGGTTTTGGAAATATCTGAAGCCCCAGGTGTGGGTGGAGGATGTTTGCCAGGAGTAGGGGCACTTACAGTTCTGGACTCTGGGATTTGGAATTAGTTTAGGCTAATATGGCCTCGGATACAAATTAAGAAAAAAAACAAAGCCAAAAAAGTGGAAAAACAAACAAAAGAAAAACAAAAAAACTTGAATTTAGAAACTTGGCAGAAGCTTGTTAACCATGTTCTGGCCTCTCCACACTATGCACCCTTAGCCTGGTACTTGTGTAAAGAACACAGCCTCAGAGCCGTAATCTGCCAGGATCCAAGAAGCCCCAGAGAGGAATATTTTTTCAATTCCTAGCACCTGGTAAACCTCCACTTTAGGGATTAAATCAATCTTAGTCCATCAAAGTGACGGGAGAGACTGGGGCAGTGTACATATGGCTCAAGGTGGTAACTGTAGTGTCAGACTCATGCTATATCTTTACTGTTGCTGCCCTATGACTGGGGTTTTCAACCTTTTTGGGTCCGTGTACCCCTGGCAGCTGGACACTGGGGGGGAAGGGGAGAAGAGGGTGGTGTGCGGCCAGATGCGGAGTGGCTGCAGCCACCGCGTGTGAGCTTCCCCTGCCCCCCACGTCCGGCTAGGTAGGCAGTGCCTGCACGGCAGTGCGGGATCATGCGTGGTGGCGCTCCATCCCTGCCCGCCCGTGTGTACCCCCTAGGGCCTTCTCAAGTACCCCCAGGGGTACATGTACCCCCAGTTGACACCCTCTGTCCTCAGACTAAGACTGCTGAGCTGAAGGTGCTCTTCCAATCTTTTGTTAAGATGCATGTAACAGGGTGGCTTGTCCCTTTAAGAGGGGTCGGCCAGCCCTGCTGAGTGGCAGCAGCTGTGAGAAGGCTACTAAGTGGCCCCCTGGGAGTCAAAAACCTTTGAAAGCAGAGCTGCAAGCAGCAACTGTGGGGGAACAGCTGTGAACTGAACGGGGTGGCGGCTGCTGTGAGAAGGCCAGAGTTACAGGGGACCCCTTCCGGTGTCCAGAACAGGATGACAAGATTTTGTTTGCTTGTTTTGTTGGTTTAAGAACTCCTTTTATTGCTGTGGGTTGCCTGAGGAGTGCTTAGGTAGCAAAAGCCTGCCTGAAGAAGTCTTGGGCAAGGCAATCTGCTTGCAGTACACTACGTGGGGGTTGGACTCAGTGGCCTCTGCAGATCCCTGCCAGCCCTACTTCTCTGTAAAACTCCCAAGTGAGAACTGTGTGATGGCATCTTCAGAGAACCTCTGTCCCTGTATATGATGTTTGGGTCACCCACATACAGGAGGACTTTCTTTTCTTCCCCGTTCTTCCCAGGGATCTTCATGCCACTGATCAGGGGGTCCTGTCCGAGTCGTTGTGCTAGTGGTTCCATTACACAAATAAACAGGATCGGGGACAGCGGGCAGCCCTGCCTGATGCTCAGTTCTACTGCAAGCAGGGCTGTTAGGGACCTGTTCACCAGGACACTGCTGCTCACGTTGGTGTACAGTGCCTTTATTCAGGTAACAAAGGTTGCAGAGGTTTTCATCTTTTCCAGAGTCTCAAGTAGGAAGTGATGGGATACCCAGTCATAGGCCTTCTCCAAGTCGAGGTTCAGCATGGTGATGTTCTGCCCCTCTCCCATTGGTACTGTAGCACGTCACGCAGCTGCATCAGGGAACAGGGATCTGTTGCCTTGGCACTGCGCACACCTGGTCCTCATGGATCACTGCATCTATAACAGACTTAAAATGCTTGGCCAAGACTTTGGCCATTAGTTTGTAATCAAAGTTCAGGAGTGTAACTGAGTGCCAGTTTCTCAAGTCCCGTCTCTCTCCCTTCTTGTACAGAAGGGTTATGAGGCCTTCCTCCATCCCCGCTCCCAGGTGGCCCTCCCGCAAGCGCTCCCTGTATACCTCCAGCAAGTCTAGGCCAACCTGGTCCCAGAAAGCAACATAGGCTCTTTGGGCAAGCCTTACTGTTCTGCAAGGTGCAGAGTGTCATGTTGATCTCCTCCAGCATCCCCTCCTCCACTAGTCTCTGTCCCTTATCCTCCCCTGGTGACAGCTGCCAGGCAGCGTAGGAGTGAATCTTCCACAAGGACCTGCAGAAGAAGACCTAAACTGGGAGGCAGCCCCACCGGGCACTCCCCGTGCAGGCATAGAAAAACAGTGCAGGGCAGAGAGGTCTATCAAGCTACCCGAGACAGACCTGCCGCTGGCAAGCAGAAGCGAGCGACCACCTCTTCTGGGACTGCCTATATGCCAGAGAGGTGTGGAAAAAAGTCCATGTGCTCCTCCTGGTGGTGATAGGTTTCAGAGACCTGATTAGGGAAATGTTTTTTCTCTACAGACACCTGACCAGACAGCAAGGGACCCCAACAATTCACTTTGAGCAGTGCATATCCTGCTTCAGATCTGCACTGTGGAAAGCCAGGGATCTGCTCATAAACAGACACTCAGACCCCACAGTCAAGGACTGTATGAAAATGGGACTAAGTGAAATGGACTGGCACTACAGGAAGTCAAGAGGACGGGAAAAAACTGGCGGACCTCATCTGGTGGAGAGGGGTCTAGCATAGACTTTTTCAGGAGCAGGCCCTCTAAGGAGGGCAGTGGGTAGAGGTACAGGTATGGAGATGGGTGCGTGGGCTCACGGATACGCAGTGTGAACTCTGTAACGGGTTTTTAGTGTGCCTCGAGCTGCCAAGGGAACCACAGGGGCCACTTGGCAGAGTGTTGGAGGTGGAGTTATATATAAATAACTATTTTTGCAAAAAAAAAGATGGCATCTTCAGAGAAGCAGAATTATAGGGGCGAGTATTCCTTTTCTAAGCATCAGTGTCACAAAATTTCTGCTGTGTACTTAGCTCTATAGAAGCCAAGTCCTACAAGGTGAAACTAAATTAGAGTTTTAAATGAATGAGTTCTAAATTATCCTCTCTCAGTAGCTACTGTCTGCTCTTTATTGGTTGCTCTGGAGAAATAGCAAACATGATGCTGTGATTTCCTGCAGTTTTTCTCAGTCCCCCCCTTGGTTATGAAATCCTTTGATAGGGAGCCCAGGGTGTATTCATACTCTCTGTTACTCCTCTCCAAGTGAAGATAACTGTTGCATGTCACTCCAGATGAGGCTGTAAAAATAACATTTTGCAGATTGGCTCTGTGAAGTGTATTTGACCTTTTTGTGTCACACTTAGTACATTTTTAGTACTGTAGTGTTCTAGGTCTCATTGCAATAAAATGTCTCCATTTGGAGCCAAAGTTGGATGCTGCAGCCTTGCCTGAGAGCACTGGGTCTTTTCACTCCTGTAATAGGCAGTTATAGCTTTATGTCTATATAAAATGTAGGCCTGACCCCTGATCCCACAAATACTTCTTCAGCTGCTTAACTGGATCTCATTGGGGTTATAAATATGCTCACAAGTAATAAGTTTACCTGTGTATTACGTTCCAGGTGCATTTTGTTACCGCACAGGCCACAGGCAGGAGCAGGGATCTGAAAGGACTGTAGCCATCTAGCACCAAGAAGCTCCCCATAAAGGAGAGCTTTCTCTCCTACCAGGGGGACTGGTGGAATGAAAGAAGTGGAAGAGAAGCTCCAAAGAGGAGGAGAGGAAAGTAGATGGCCCAGTTTCTGTTTTTGGGGTTGCAGATATGGAAGATTTCTTTAGGAGAGCTGTTGGACTCTGTCCATGCCTGGCTCAGAACAGAGTCCCCAGGAGGGAGCAGTGTCTATGGGGCTAAAAGCAAGTGTGTGAGTTATGTTACCTGGGAGCTATCCTGGAACCAACAAGGGTTCAGAAGACCCAATGGGGTCATGCTGGACCTGGGTTCCCATCCAGCAATAAAGGTGACATCCACACTGATGAAGCTTGCTCTCTCCTGTTCCCAGGCAGTGGCCAAGCAGGGGGAGCAGCACCCTCTTGCTGATATTCACCAGCTGAAATGTATTTCCAGTCCTAAACCTAAACATTGTCTCCTTTTCTAGAGGCTTTCATGTTGTTGCTGTACTAGCCCATGGCTTCAGAGGCTTGGAGACTTCTTAGCAGTAGCATAACGAGGGGTGAGCAAGCAGGGCACCAGTCCCCAGCACTGACTTAGTGCTGGAATAGCCCCTTGCCAGGGGTCTTTGCAGTGCCAAGTAGTAGCAGCATCCCTGCTCTCTTACTCTCAGGAAATGTAAGATTAGCTTCCCCTACCCCCCCCCCCAATTCCCTGATGCTCCCTGCCCCCTATGGTGCAGGGTTGTGGTTTCTCAGTGTGCAAAACCTGTTAGTTATACCTCTGCTCCTTAGCCCAGGTCTCTTAACTCAGTCTTGCTGGGCTCCTTATCTCTGTTTGTTGGGGTTTTTTTGCAACACTTAAAAACAATTCCATGGAACAGACTGAGTTGGACTGTGTCACCTTGGGCAGCTCAATGCCGTGACCTTTCTTCCAACAGACAGGCCAGCAGCAGGACTGAAAGAGCAATGGGAAAGTGTCCAGCCCTTTCCAGGACCCCAGCACTCCACCAGCTTCAGTTATCAACTGGGAGCCAAATGCTCCCTCATATTCCTCCTCTCTGTTCGTGCCTGCCATTAGAATCAGTGTTTGTGCATTAATAGGATTCTTCCCAGTGGATTAATGTCCCGACATGAGCCCGATGGGAAGTCATCTGTCCTTGTGCCTCTCTCCCGGCTGCTCTGAGCTTGGTTCCCATCTCACTTCCCCAGCAGTTGAAGGCACTTGACCAGAGAGGTTAATAAGGCATGGAAAGAAGCTCATCTGCAAGCAGTGTCAACAAAGCTAGTGCCTAGCCCTGCTCCAGCTGAGCCCCCTGACCCAGGGAGACGTTTACCCTTTGTGTGAATCATCCCACTAGCTCTTGCCACACCTGCAGCACTCTGCTAGCCCAGTCCTCTGGGGCCCCTCAACCCTAGATGAGAGCTCCCCCAGCCTTTATCCCTGTGTCCCATCTGCTCTGAGGCTGCCCCTGTCTCCTGACCTGAGCCCCCCTGGGTATTCCATTCCTGAACAGTCTGATCTGCTCAACTGGTGCTGACTTGTCTAGAGGTTGTGTGACAAAAGCTAGTGGCAGTAGCAGAACTGCTCATTTACTACAACAGCGACCAACCATATGTACACTATAGTGCCATTGTACTGGACAGACATCCAGTCTCATTATATCTTGGAGTGGAGGCAATGGTAGAAGTAGTCTCTGCAGCCTCTCTTCTTTTCCCCATGCCATAGCACACAACAGCTGGGGAGGGGTATAGGCACATGCCAAGGAAACCTCGCTTCTCCCCATTCTGCCCAGCTGTCTCCCTAAAGGTGCAGTGAGGTGAGGGTGAGTCTCGGACTCTTGGAGGCTGAGCCTTGAGCCCAGGCAGCGCTAAGCACATTCATGCTCCAATCTCTGTAGCAGCTAATGGCACCAGGAGAGCTGCGCTTTTTGCCACTGAAATGAAACGCCTCTTCCAAGTGGAACAAGGGGTCTGCTACTATCAGCAGCCAGCTGTAGGCATGTGGAGACACCCCGAAGTCCTCACCTAGTCATTGCGGTCCTATCAGTGGCTAGTGCCTACCCAAGGTGCACGTCATGCTGTGACAGCCCAGCCACTGAGTGGTGCCATGCAGAGCCCAGGTGTGCATGAAGTCTGGTTGCTGGGCAGTGGTGCCTATTGTCTGCACCCAGAACTTCTGTAGTCATAGCCTGAGCATCCCCCTGAATCCCTCTGTGCGCAGCTCTCAGGGTCTGCCCTGTGCTGCTTGGACTTCAGTCCCCCGTGCCCCTCTGGGGCAGGTTCTTTCCCACTCTCTCTCACCCTCTCTGTTCCCAGGAGCACTCAGGGAGCCAGGCTGGGCAGGAAAAGGAGGCTCAGTCTCTGTTGCAAGGCTGGTTTCTCAGTGGGTGATTACACCAGGGGGCCAGGTGAGGGATCCCACTTCCAGCTGAAAGGAGTATTCACCCCATGCCCCACCTCCCCAGGTTTGTCAGGAGATTCCCAGAGCACAGGCCCCTCTCCTTCAAGCCATCCTCAGGCAGCAGCTTTCAGCCCAGCCCTGCAGGCAACCATAAACCCTTCACCAGGTTTTCCAGTACACTTCTCTCCATTCCCAGATTTCCACTGCAAGGGGGATGCTGCAGCCAGAAGGTGTCAGTGTAGCACCACATCTTGCTCCTAGCACCTGCTTGCTTTCTAAAGCCACAGAGAGAGATAAAGGGAGCAGTTTCTTGGAAGGAGCTTGTAGAGGGCCCAGGACTTACCGTGAGCTAATGGCATGGAGTCCTACATTAGGATCATAGGAAACTTACCTTCCTACTTGGAAAACCCTGTTCCCCCACTTCACATTGATGCACTGACCCTGTGCAGCTCTCACCTGGTTCATGATTATCAACCTTATATCCACTCCGGCTACAGAAAGGGAGTGGGTTTGGCGGTCAGAGCACAGGCTGGGCATATAAGCTCCTGAGTTCTGCGCCAAGCATTGGTACGGACCATCTGTGGGACTGAGAGTTTGTCCCTTCTTTCTCTACTTCTGTTTCTCTATCTGTAAAACGAGAGTAGTGATTCCTCTTGAGCAACCAGGGCTTAGAAGGTCAGAACCACAGATGCCCACAAAGCATTTGGAGCTCCTGGGGGAGAAGCACGTGCAGCTCCTG